ACACACACACACACACAGTTTCAACATTAGGCAAACATAAAAATGTCATGTCATTTTGTCAGTGAATGAAAAGGTGTGTCTACCTCCAGGCAACTCGACTGTGTGAGGAACTTCGGCAGGAGCAAGACCGGAGCTCTCACCTGGAGAAGATCAAGAAGAACCAGGAGCAGAACCTAAGAGAGCTGACACTGAGGCTGGAGGAGGCTGAGCAACAGGGTCTGAAGGCCGGTAAACGCACCATCCAGAAACTGGAAACCAGGGTAAGGAGTTGGGTAGCTTGAGAACCATCACTTTTAAAATGGGAAAAGATTATGCACCCACACAGACACAACACCTGCCTGAGGCCTTTCGTCCACATCTTGTGTCGATTCTTCCCTTTTATTGCTTCTAGATCAGGGAGGTGGAGAATGAGCTGGACCAGGAGCAGAAGCGCCACATGGAGACGGTGAAAAACCTCCGTAAGGGAGAGCGTCGACTCAAGGAACTGATCTTCCAGACGGAGGAGGACCACAAGACCAATCAGCGCATGCAGGAGCTGGTGGAGAAACTCCAGAACAAGCTCAAGTCCTACAAACGGCAGATAGAGGACGCTGTGAGTAGCAGTTGGTGACGCTGGATTTTTATCTCTTTCTAATGATTGGTTTGGACTTTACTATATATCTTTAATTCATCTATGCATCAACTTTCTCATTTAACTCACATAAGGCGAATAAGTTCCTGTAAACTGTGGCATTTTTAATTATGATACTTGGATCCCATTAGAGCCTAGAATATTCAAAAATGTGTCAAATAGGACAATTCCTCAGAAGCAGACATATTAGAGAGCATCTTAAAGACATGTAACAAACAGTCCATCAGTTTATTTACCACTAATACAAACTCTTGCCTGTGTCACTGTAGGAGGAGCAGGCCAACAGCAGCCTGTCTAAATACAGAAAGACGATCCATGAACTGGACGATGCTGAGGAGCGTGCGGAGGTGGCAGAGATGACATTAAATAAAATGAGGATGAGGAACCGAGCCTCCGCCAAAAAGGGCTTCACTTCGGTGGAGATCGTCCAGGTCAACAAGCCTACCAGTGGAGGTCAGGACGAGTAGAGGGGGAGCGAGACACACACACACAGCTAGCAGGTAGGCAGTGAAAAATGTAATTATTATATCTGAGCAAATCATCTTTGACACAAACAGTATTGTTCAGTCTGTCTTTGTGCTCCTACAGAGTGACACACACCCATTCAGCCCTCCAGAGAACGCTTGACTGAGGAAGTATGAGCTCAGACACCCTGGGGAAAGTCTTAAAAAGGCCCAGACAGCTCCTGATAGAAAGTCTTAAATAATGAATTGAGTCTTTAACATCACCAATAGTCTTAATCTATATAGTCTTAGTATTGGTCACCTGTACTAGTCGATTTGATCCTGCACGCTAAGTATGTTTTACTGTCTTTGTGCCTTGAATGTACCATTTGTGTCTGTAGTCTTCAAGTGCTTTGGATTCTACAATGTTTATTAGTATATGTAAGAGAGTTTAATGTGTGTATGTGTGTGGGTGTCTGTGCCTTGCATGATCTCAGTTGGTGTCCTTACACTGGCGGGAGGGGGTGGGTGAGGCTGTGCTCTCACGTCAACGATAGAGAGCCCACCTGTGTGTGTCGCTCCTGCATGGAAAGTGTGTAGTGCCCTGCAAAGTTTTAATAAACTACAAGCAAATGAGCAGAGTTCTGTGGCTTATTCAGAGGAAAAGGGGCTGGGGAGGGTCACACTTAATGAAGCACACATCCTGCAACAATACATGTAGTGTTTTGGAGTCTTTAGTTTTAACTGTGTATGGACAAGACTGCATTAAAGCTGCGGTAATCAATATTTTTTATATTAACAATGAGTCAAATGTACATGTGTAATGGGAAAGGAGTCACTGGTAATGACAAACCCACAGAGGATTTTCACCTGACACTGCAGTTCCTCTAAGCCAGGGATACTCAACTTGCGTTGGCTGGGGGCCACTTTTGCAAAATAACGAGGTCAGGGCCAGTTAATTAACATTAAACATTAATAATTTAATGAATGAACATTAGGATTGTTGATGGAGCAGAATAAGACCACTTTAAAGTCATAATCTTCTCTTTTCTTGTGGTGCGAGCAGGCAGGACCGCAGCATTGGCGCATTATATTAGTAACAGCAATATTAAACACAGTTGTTTAGGATAACAGCCAAGGGACATTAATGAACATTTGTTAATAAAAAATGTGAAATGTCAATCAATTTTTTTTTGTGAATTAGAAAATTCACCAGGCCAGATTTGGTCCTTACTTACGTAACTAGCTGGTGAACATAGTGGAAAATATCGCAGCTAAAGAGTCCAATATTTCTCTCAGGAGCTGGTCGAGCTGAAGGAGAATGAATATCGGACTTCTTCTTATCTGCTGGATGTGTAAATAGACAACTGTTTGTCAACAATATCAACTTAAAGGCTGATGATTCGTGTTGTGTTTGCAGCTTATTTTGCACTGCACCCAAGTGGCAAAAAAATCAATTATACAAGTAAAATGGTAAAGCCAACACAGACACAACTGTTGAGTTTAACACAATAATTTTTCTTTCTAGTTATAGTAGCTGTGATGAATTAATACAATAGTAAATATATTATAATAGAATTAATTTAATGAATATAAGCAAGTTAATACAGTGTGACAAGAACAAAAGGCACCTATCTCATACATCAACATGGAATTTATTTTCATTTTAGTTTCAGATGAACGTTTCACATTTTATACAAAATCATTAGAAAATGCCTGACACTCCAAAATCCCATGGCTAATCCTTTATTAGCGGCTTCAGACACTAAAGGATTAATAATGGGGAATCATGCAGCATCCTGGACCAGTTGATGAGGCTCAGCCTGAGCTCCAGATCAATCTTATTGTAATCCACAGTTCACTCGATGGCCGAACATCCACTATCTCAGCGTGTAAAATCTCAAAGCCATGTTCAGAAACTGACAATACAGTTCAGTAATATCTTGCCACGTCTAGTAATGTACAGAGTAGAGATACAGCAGGACGCTGCCGCTGACAGCTTCCTGCCTTTCTCAACTGACCTGCGGACAGCCCTTAACTGATCATCACCACCCAAAAGTCTGCGATGTATGGACAAAGTACCACGTCAACAACACCATGCATGTTTTCTTACGCATGACACATCATTGGTTATGACTGGTTATGTAGATTTAAAAAAAAAAAAAAAGATAATTAATATCAGAGTTTAAAAATCAACCAATGAGTGCAGGCCTGGGGGGGGGGTCCACTGAGCCTCTGTATGGATGAGGTAAAAGTGATGGGGGGGAAGGAGGGGAGGAGGCTAAACTACTCAGTGTTTTGCTAATGTACATGCCCAGCACACGCGCACAAATGAGGTCTCGGCACAAGCGCACAGACACACACTCTTATTCGCAAACACCTCTGCCTCATGCCAAAAGCTTCTAAAATCGTTCTTTGGAGGGTAGAGTTCAGCAAGATGGCTGATGCCACACTCCTCGCAGGACAGTGTGTGAATGTGTGTGAGAGAGAGGAAAGGGTCAGAAAAGATAGTACACACACGCCCTCGATTAAGATCCGACAACTGAAAACAGATTTTATTAAGCCAATGCAAAGAGATCCCCCTCTCAAACAGAAAGAAACCATGACACTGGGGCAGAGAGGCACTTACACAATCACTTTCATTTTACACAGTGCTTGCGTCAGTGTGTGTGTGTCTTAAGTGGAGACAGCTACATTGGTATTTTTTTTTTTTTGATCAAACGTCCAACACGCACACTCACAGATACTCGTTTTCACATTGGAGCATGTTTTTAGCAGTTGGCACATGTACATGCAAAGCGTCAGTTTGGCCTGCGCAGACAAAACTGAGGGAAAAGGGAACGCAGGAAGGAGGGAGGGAGGAAGAAAAAGATTGACATGTATGTGAACAGACAAACGCACAGATAGACTTACAGACAGGCTCTTGAACGCTTTGAGCATTTAAAAACACCCTCCCCCTATCTTTGATCCTGCCCCTGCCCCCCCTTGTGTCACATGTTCATAGCAGCACCAGAGGAGCCCTCTGATTGGTGGGTACAGCCGTCCGTTAAGTCAGTCAGTTTCAAGGATGAGTGGCGGTTGCTCGTTCTCCTCCTCTAAGCGCAAGTCGTTAAGGTCATCTTCTAGCCCTGCCCCTCCCACGGCGCCCTGCTCTTCGCAGTAACCTAGGCAACAAGAGGTCAAATACTGAAACAAACAACTTTGTACATAACTTAGATTTTGTAACAAAATCAAATGTCACAAAGAATTAAAGATTCTTTCTTAATTTCCTTCCTGAAATTACTGCAGCTCAATAGTTGATGACCTGAAATTTTAGCCTCTTACCTTGTCATACTTGTGTTTATCACCAAACTTAAAGATGGCAAAAAAACACTGTAACGTCTTATTTTAATGGTCTGTAATTTCCAAATTAAATGTTAAATCTGTCTAAAAGCAAGTATACAATTCATAATATAGGAGAACAGAAGAAACATAAAGTTTCCAATAAAAACAAATAATGTTTTTCTTTCTTTCTTATAAACTCACCACAACTAACTACACTCAAGTCTCTAAAATAACTAATTCCACAATACCAATACCTGGGGAGATTATAAGAACAATAGTAGGGAATTAAGGCGCTGTAATGGAACATGTTACTTGTGAATAGTTGTGACATACCTTTAGTTACTGCCGTGCTGTAGGTTTGGGCCACAAGTGGGCGGTCATGTGACCCCTGCTCAAGGATCTCATTGGATGGCTCAGCACTGCCGTCTAACCTGAGGTCAATAAAGCAGACACTCAGTTACAGAAACTCTTTGAGCTGTTGACTGTTAAACTTCAGATTACAGTGTTCAGTGACCTGTGCAATTTATTCTCTATTTCTTCTGTGCATGTGCGTGCGTGCGTGCGCGCGCGCGC